ATACTGGATTGGTATGTCTTGCTCTCAGAACTTCTCTTTTTTTCTGATGAAATATATCAACTTTAAACAAGTTAGTTAAGTACAATAGGTACAGCCATCAACTACCTGTTAGTGGCATTGCAATATGCACTGTTGACCAATGCCTGACTTGGGATGGAGGTTAGTTACTCTGTATATTCGTACATTCCCATATAGACCCCACCTATGTATACAATAAGAAAGAAAGTTTATTGTGTTACAATGCTATGTTTCTAAATATATTTAATACATGGGATACTCCTCTAATTCTGTTATTACTTGTACAAAATACAGATTTTATCCTATTTTAGAATTATGGATCATGTGATTTTTCTCACTTAATCTCAGACACCACTTTTCTCATCAGATCCATAGGCTTTATATTCTGGGTAAATTTCATCTACTCTTAAAGCCATATAATCTTGTATCTAATGTCATTCTTTTGTTTAGAGAAGTGTACTTTTTCTAGCACTCCATATTTCCAGCTTCTTACCAGATCTCCTTTGGGGGGGGCATCACTTTGATCTTATATATCTCCCTGGAAAAGAGGTTCATGGAGAAGCTACTGATATGCTATCCAGTCCCAGCAGGGAAGTGGCCATGTGGCACGACACAGTCCACAGAAAAAGGGAGATGCTTGCTACTCTGGATTTATAGAAAACATTTATATAGCAATCATTAGGGGTTGTTTTAGGTGTTAAAAATCATATTTTGGTGGCAGTGTTAATCCTATGTAATAAAAGCATAGCATGCAAATTGTCACCTCTACCGGGAGTTAATCCAGGAGTTTGACTAGGGGGCGGGGCCAGCCAGGGGAAGGGAGGGAGTACCCGGCCAGCAGCCGGAAGCCACTAGGGACCCTACCAGTGCACGAATTTCATGTACTGGCCTCTAGTTTTGCTATAAACGGCTTTGTTTTGAGAACATTCATGGATAACAGCACAATAAAACATCTTGTGTCTCATGTGTTACTTTATATTCTGCACTGTTTGGAGGCCACAATTCAAGTGAAAATGCCTGCATGGAACTGGTCCTAAGGAAGGTGAAAGAGGATCTGAGAGGAAAGAAGAAATCACTTTGTCCAAGAATATCTCGGCGGTCCACAGAAAAAGGGATTTATAGAAAACATTTATATAGCAATTATTAGGGTTTGTTTTAGGTGTTAAAAATCATATTTTGGTAAGTGGCAGTGTTAATCCTATGTAATAAAAGCATAGCATGCAAATTGTCACCTCGACCGGGAGTTAGTCCGGGAGTTTGACTAGGGGGCGGGGCCAGCCAGGGGAAGGGAGGGAGTACCCGGCCAGCAGCCGGAAGCCACTAGGGACCCTACCAGTGCACGAATTTCATGTACTGGCCTCTAGTTTTGCTATAAACGGCTTTGTTTTGAGAACATTCATGGATAACCAGCACAATAAACATCTTGTGTCTCATGTGTTACTTTATATTCTGCACTGTTTGGAGGCCACAATTCAAGTGAAAATGCCTGCATGGAACTGGTCCTAAGGAAGGTGAAAGAGGATCTGAGAGGAAAGAAGAAATCACTTTGCCCAAGAATATCTCGGCATCATGGTGTCCGTGACTCCCCTGGCCTCCGCTGCTGGCAGTAGAGTTTGGTCAATAATGGTATGAGGTTTCTTGACAGTTTCAGATCAAGGAGGAGGGAAATTGCTGTCGAAGTTTATTTATTACATCTTAAAGGTTAAATTGGCACAGTGGTTTCTCAAGTTGTGACTGGGCGGTGGGGGGAGGACTGAGGTTAGTTGGAATTTTTGGCTCACCTTCAGAGGTAGTGTGCACATCACAGTGGAAGATGGTTCACAGCTGAAGGAATGGGTCCATGACATTCACAAAGATAGTTTCTCAGGTTACCTACATCTTTTTCTGTAAATACCTAACACCATCATTCTTCTTGGAGTTACAATTTTGTTAAAGATGCTTTTAACAGTTTTCTTTAGCTCTCCTAGAGACAAATAGAAGTAAAGGTTTTCCTTACAAAAATATATGGAAGTAAATGTAAACTTTTCCATGCATCCTGTTAACATAAGGGTTTGGGTCATTTGGCTGTTATGTAATGTGTTTTTATTCTAAATGGTGTCCTGTTACTTTATTTATTTTTTAATTCTTTATTGTATAAAGTATTACATACTGGTATGTCTCCTTTTTCCTCCATTGACCTCTCCCCAGCCACTCCCAACCACTCAGCACATGCCCTCACCCCACCCCCCCTAGTGTCTGTGTCAATTGGTTATGCTTATATGCATGCATACAAGTCCTTTGGTTGATCTCTTACCCACTTCTCACCCTCCCCTACCTTCCCTCTGAAGTTTGACGGTCTGTTCGATGTTTCTGTCTCTGGATCTGTTTTGTTCATCAGTTTATGTTGTTGATTATATTCCACAAATGAGTGAGA